TTATGTTCTCTTAAATGAGCTTGGTCTCATTGCGGTTGGTTCTTGCTTGTATTTTATTTTAGGAGCAAAAGACTGCTCTTCATTTCCTCACATTATTCCCTAAGCAGCAGTTCCCAAGAGCTGTTTGGTTGAGCAGTTGGGTTAGAAACCTTGTAATCAAAGTGGTGGCTTAACCTGACAACTTCAGCTTTACCTGTAATAAGAGCATAAGGTGTATCTCCACTGGAGCGCAAATGCCAGCTGGTTCATCTCGGGAAATTCCTGAGGGAAGTTCCCCATCAGAAATGTCTCAGGCTTGTCTTACATGGTGGAAGTTGCCTGCCCTTGTGGTGGGATGCTTTTGGCATTCATTGGTGCTCAGTGCTGCTGGATGAAGCCCAGAGCTTCATTTGGCAGCACAGGTTTGTGTTAACAGCATTGTGGTTTCCTTAACACTATTCCCTGAAATACAGTGAAGCCTATGCAGGTGGCATTATGTAGAGTAGCATAAACAGATCTCTGCCGTTATCCCACAGCTTCTTGCCATGGTTCCAGTGAGGTTTTGGTGCTTTCTAGTTAAAATGCAGAGATATCTGGAAGCTTCCAGCCTGTGTTTCTTGGTTCCTGGGCTGGGTGCTAAACCAAGTTCAGAATAAGCTGGGTTTCCTTCATCAGTGGTGTTGGGACAGTGAAAATTTGTAGCAGATTAATCTCAAGTTTGTGAAAGGAAATGAAATGAAATTTCATTAGAAGGCCTCTGATTTTCCATTGCTCACAGTGCTGGCATGTCTCAGTAGAGGCTGATCTGGGTAGTGGCTGCCAGAGCTTTGCAGGACTGTTGCCAGGAACCATACCTGCAGCCCTTCTCCTTCCAGGAGAAGGCAGGGCACTGGGTGTAGATCTCAATGAGACCTCTTCAAGGTAAGCAGGTATAGCATGGCTCCTTCTGTGTAGCTTTGGAGGAAACTAAGGTGGCTTTTGGTTGTCAGGTACTTCCCCTTCACAGGGTTACAGATGAAGAAGGGTGTGCAGAGAACAAATGGCTGAAAGAGCTGATTGTGTTTTAACTGCCTTTTCAGCCACTGTAGGAAAACCAAATAACTTTCCAAAGTATGTTTTTGGCAGGACAGGCAGAATATCTGAGGACAGAAGTCTCAATTCATTGCAAAATGGCTTGTTTTTTGTTGTTTTTTTTTAATCTGCTGGAGACATTTGAGTCCTCCAGTGAAGCATGTAAGAAATAATCTCTAATGGTAACTGGTCACTTTGGTTTGAAAATAGGAACAGCTTTGTAGCCCTAAAGGGATTGTGCCTTGCTCTTCCTAGCAAAGTGCGTGAATAATGAGGAAGTCGTTCCCGTTCTCTGAAACAACTCCAGTAAAACTATCAAACAATGTTCTTGGAAGTGCAGCCCAGAAGAGGGCATCTCTAGTGTTATGAGGATGCTTCATTGCTCTTCATTTACTACCATTGATGCTGATACTTTGCCCAGGTTTCCAATACCTTTTCTGTTTTTAAATGCAGTGCTGAGAGGTGTTAGATGAAACTTCACGTTTCAGCTGTTCAGAGATCCTGTGTTGTTTCATGTATTCTCTTTCTTCCTCCCATTTTCTTGTGGAGTTGCAGTGACTGCAAGACATGATGTTTTTTCACATTTGTTTTGTTAGTGTTTGCTTTCTAGTGAATATGAAAACAGCTCTTGATAAGAAGTACTATCTTCCCCCCCTGCCAAGTGAAGAATGTGGATTCTTGCACTTAGCTTCATGTCTGATAGTAGCGTCCTGGTAGCTGCACAAGTCTGTTTATGTGACCTTTTTATTGAGAGCCTCAAGGTTACCATCACCTGCTGTTCCCTCATTTCACACTTGTGCAGCTGTATAAAGTGTATGAGACTTCAGGCATTGGTTTTGAGAGCCATGGAACCTCTTCTTCTGGCATAAGAGACCTCCTGTGCTGCCTCTTGGAGTCTGTGCTATTGGCTGCAGTATGGGGTTATTGCTTTTGTTTCCAGGCAGAAGGGGAGTATCAAAGTTGTGAAAAACTGTAATTAAATTGTGGCAAGAGGTAAAAAATAAGTGCTGTTCTCAACAGCTTTCAAAGAGTTTCAGCCAATTCATGTGTCAGTTTACTGTCCCTTTGTGACATCAGTTGTTACTGCCCAGAACTGTCTCTAGTGTTTGGACAAGATGTGGCTCTTCAGTGTGTGGAGCTGTAGCTCTGACAGCTGTTTCAAATTTGCCTTCAGCTTTATCTGTGCATCAGGCATCAATAGCAATAAGCCTGCAGAAGCAGTAGTTTGTAGATTACCATAATACTGGCTTGGAGTTATAATTTTGCCAGTGTCACAAAGATCTGCTGCCATGAAGAGGTTATCACGCTTTATTAAAAATTCTGACAAATGGAACAAAGTTAGGGAAATGATTGTTTGTTACTCTAACTTATAGTCAAGTTACAGGCATTATCATAGTTGAATGTTCCAATCAAGACTATGATCACTGGATTAGCCTTAGGTAACTTCTTCTGTGGATGCTTTCACCAAGTTATTTTAATTCAGTATGGATGTCCTTGTGTTGCCTTATCCTGTTGCAAGGGCTGGAAACCTGCTTTATGTTTTGGGTTACATCCTTTTCAGGATCACTGCTATCCTGCTCAAATGTAAAGGGGTTACTTGTTTACCTTTTCTTTTTGGAGATGTTAATGAATTTACATATGAACTGTATTGTATTTGCATAAACTTTCTAGCTCACTCTTGAGGTAATTTCCTGTCAAGCAAGTAGATTGTGCTGGAAACTCACCCCATTCAGGTGACTGGAGGATGGGATACTTTTCCAGCAGGGTCTCCATCTCTGTTGAATGCCAATTGAAAATGCAGAACAGTAGTGCAAAACCAGTCCCAGCCCTGTAATCAAGTTGACTGGTATCAATGTGGTTTCTCAAATGCAGAAGTAGAAAATGCACTTCTGATAATTTGACTTAACAGACAAGTGTAATGAGTAGCGACAAAATATCCAAGTACATTAAAACTTACTCTTAATGCATTCCAAACCTCTAAAGGAATGAAATTATAAGTTTATATGTGGCTTCTCAAAGTAGTATAGCTGTCAGTGATGTCTTAAACCGGGCTTATAAAAGAAAAGCCTAAAATCTCCAGTAGCAACACTTCTGCCATTCTGGATGTAGACTTAGAGCGAAATGCTCTTGCTAGTAAATGTGGTCAGCTTTCTCTCTTTCAGTGAAATCTGCATAAGCATGTGGTCTGAACAAGGGAAACAATGCTCTTTTCCTGGCTGATGATAAATTGTTTGCCATGAATCACTGTATAAATGAGATGGCGTGAAAAGAAAATGAGAAATCTAATATGTTTTCTATAATTCCGGTTATTCATTGATTAAATTAAATGATCCATCTGTACCTAAATATAATTATAGTCAAGTCATCAGTGGAGGAGGAGAAAGCTGAGTTGTCAGATGGAGTTAACAGTGTTTTTCTGAATATGCAACTTGCCTTGTGCATCTGGCCCATGTAGTAAAAGCTGCTTGAGAAAAGAGGGGATCATGTAGATGCTGCTCTTGCAGTTCTCAGCTTGTGTCTGCTATGTAAATGGCAATATGTTGATGCTACAGAATTTTATACCAGGTTTTGTGTCGTCTTGCAATATCCTCTTATGCTTTTAGATGTGGAGGATGAAAAGCTGTTTCTAAGCATGTGGTTATAGCTTGATTGTTTAAAAAAAAAAAACCCAAAACATACTCAGCAAAACCCAACTCGTGGAGCTTGTGGCTTTTTCTGTTGTATGCATTTAAACTCAGACAGAAGCAGTGTTTTAGACTGTATTGTGTGGTAATATTTTGTCAGCTTTCAGACTAACCAAGTCATAAAAAGACTTTCATTACAGTCTTGTTTTACACTAGGAAAGATTGTAAGTGTGCATAGAAGGTCTGGGTTTCAGGTATTGGATAACTTGCAAGAAAGTTTAATGCACTCCTCCAGGAACATTGAGGTTTTACTTACTGGATTCTCTGGATCCAGTCTTACTGGATTCTCCTGTACCTCCTCCTTCCTTTTATTTGAAAGATCAGTGTTAAGTGAGGTTGTTTGAGGATGGTGTTTTCAGTGGTGGACTTAGCAGCAGCTGCTGCTGGAGACCAAGGAGACGAGACACCACAAAGGTAGGGTCCTCTGTAGCTCCCTTGAAGGATCTGACATGGTACAGACCAAGCATCCAGCTGGGATTTTGTATTTGTGATTGTTTTGAATCCTCTGATTTTTTCAGAGATGAGCCATTAGGAGAGGAGACTTTAGTAGCTGAATGGTCTTTTTTTTTTTTTTTTTCACTTTCTTTTTTAATTCTTTCCCACTGGAATCTCCCTATTTGGCTTCAAACTGCTCCAATAAAACCCTGGGTTTTAATGGTTTTGGGCATGCCCTTGACAGAGGGAGAGCTTCAAATATCTCAGTGACTTTGATTTTCATGGGAGACCACTGCCCTCTTGAATGGGGAGGATGATCTTGATACAGGTAGGTGAGCTGATACTAATCAGGTTTCAGTTCTCACTACAGTTTTCTCTAAGCTGTGTTTTCACCTCTAAGTATGTGCCTAAGTGTTCAGAAACTGAAGAGGCAGCCAAGTGTGATAGTGGTGATGAATTTTGCAGATGAAGAACTGCTTAAAATTAGTGCTAAAGTAATCCCAGAGTGTGTGTATATTTTGTGTGTCTGTCTTTTTAATGTTCAGAATATCTTTTTGACTCAAATGGTGAGCTGCTTTGCAATTTGCATCTTGTATGCATACCATGTTTCAGCGTGGCCAGTGGTTAAGTTTTTCTCTTGAATGTAGGAATTATTTTCTGTCAAGAGATGCATAGTAAAGCTGATGTGCACTTTATTCTTATATTTCTTGGCAGCTGTTCCTTGGAGTAATAAAGTAAATATTACATTATCTAGTGTGGTCTAGTTATTTCTTCCACAGAAATACAGGAAAGCTGTAATATCACAGCCTGAATGTGTTTTTTTTTCAACAGGAACTGTTCTTATCAGAAGCAGTAATGGGCACCTAATGCTGGTATCTCAACAGTCAATAGGACAAGCACAGAACCAGACACAAAACAACACAAGTGTGAGACCACCTGTGCCAACCAGCACACCTGCAATCAGAATATGTGCTGTGCAGGTAACTTCTCTCATAACTTTAGTTTGGCATAGCTGTATGTTATGTAGGTAGAACAGGGTTTGCAAATAAGTTGTGGAGGGTTAAATAAACGTTTGAACCCTTTCTGAGTGGGGTGATGGTGTTTGGTTTTGCACCAATAAACATCACTATGTGCTTTGCTTTCTTGCTTGGGTAAAAACTTGTGGACTGTTACATATGGTAAAGGTCAAATTAGTGAACTCCTCTCTGATGATGGTGATGATGTAAACCATTTTAAGAAAAAAAATGCCAGCCAAAATTGCCTAAATGGTTACTGCTACTATCAAAAACCTTGTGATCCTCTGTTGGGATATTTCTCCAAAGCTGAGGACCTTTCCCATGTCCCTAGGATATTCCTCCTTCCCTGAACTCTGCTGGCTTTTTGCTTCCATCTCTTAGTGTGGTCAGCACGCAAGAGTAAGGAGCTACATAAAAGTAACAATTTATGTATTTCTTTAACCATTTTATTCTGATTATGCATTATCTATAAATGTCTCTGAATCTGTTATTGAATATTAAAGTGGTAGACAAAGAGCTTTGTTGAGCAGTGTTTAAATGATATGGACTGTGTGAATGATGCCTGTGTTGTTACTGTTAAGAGGATGTGCCTCAGTTTGTATCTGACCCCAACTGCAATGTCTGTTTTGTCATTGCTTGTCTGACAACTGTTCTCTGCCCATGTGTAATTATTTTTAATGTTTTATTTTTTTCAAAGAATTCTGGCACACAGTTAGTAAAGAAAATAGCAGCTGCTCCTGTGAAAACATTATCTCAAACAACAAATGCTGTGGTTTCTACTGTTCAGACACCTGCTGTAATACAGGTACTTTGCAAGCTTTATAGTATGGTGGAATAAGTGACAGAAAGAACTGGAGAAAATATGGATGCATTCTTGTTATTTCTAACTGTAATCTGGTTTTCAGTAAGCTTAGTAACCTTTGTCCTCATAACAAATTATTTCTCAAATCTGTTTTTTTAAATGCATAATTTAATTAGGCTTCTGTCAGCGTGTGTCAGATAATCTTATCTCACTACAGTAGAAAGCACGTGAACAATGAATACAATAAATAGTTCAGAGAGCCATTTCCAGTGCTTTTGTATGCTGTGACAGAGCTCCTTCATTCTCTTGCTAAATCTTTTCTGGGAGATGTGCTCCTGTTTGGGTTCCCTGATTCCTCAGTGCAGAAAAAGGTATACCTGAGATCATGTTGAGGGGAAAATGAGCTGTCTGCACCAATCAAGCTGTTTTTCATGTATATGATGTTTTTCCCCCTTATTATAAACTGAAGGAAGGTCATAGCTGAAGACCTGTTCTCTAATTGAGTGTGGCAGATGGGTTCCACAGGTACAGCTGTAAATAGGCAGTGGTTGAAAATGCCTCATTATTTTCAGGTAGTATTTTTGTCTTATTTCCTAGGTCTTATATTGCTTTTTCTGGAGAAAAAATGTTGTAGACCTCTTCTAAAGAGGGTTTTATCACCTGCAGAGTATGAGATTTTTCCTATGTATTGTTCATCCTCTGTTCTTGGGGACCAGGCTTCTGGATAAGCATGTGGAACAAAAAGAAACCCACATTTTTCTGCATATAGTATGTTCTGTTCATAATCTGGAGGAGAAATCATGAAGAAGTCTGGCTTGTACTTGTGTTTTGTGACAAGACTTCAAAGGAGACTTGAGCTGTAGCAGTTGACAAAACACTCAGTAAATGAGCAAGATCAGTCATTTAAAAAAACATGCTGGATGTATGTTCTTGACCCTGAGGGTGTTTGAAGGGTTGGGGGATGTGTGTGCTGACAGTGGTAACAGTCTGACTAACAAGTTCATCCTTCTGCTGTTCTTCTGTATCAGCAGCTGAACACTACTCACACTCTGTGCTTTTTTTTTCACTTCCCTCTCACTACAGATGGATAATGTTGGGGCTAAAGTGGAAAACCCAGAGGCCTCTCTTAATTCAGTTCCTATTTTGCTCAGAATGGAAACAGTGTATGCTTTCTGTATAAGTACAGTAATGGATATTCCTCACTTTTGTTTTGGAATCCTAGCTTGCAAACCCTGTGTTTGTGATCTCTGCATAGAGGTCTTTAGGATATAAAAACAGTAGTTATCTACTATACTACCCTTGCACTGGGGAAAAGAGATGAAGGTCATCCATCATCTGATGGATGAAGTCACGTGCATCCTCACACTCTCATGTGGGTAAACACTGAGATTCATCATGCTATTAACTTCTCTTTTTAAAACTTTTATCTGCCTTTGGCTTGGTTTTTCTGTACTTTAATTCAGTTTTGATATAGTCTGTTGAACTTGTGTTCTTCTAAAATATTTTAAGACATAGACTTGGAGTGTTTTTTGTAAGCTGGTTTTTTTCCCCCCACTGTAGAAAGTGGAACACTTGGAATGAGCTGTAGGGCTAGATTTAGACAGCAGGAATGATGACTCTAGGAAAAATTAACAGAGCTGTTTTGTTTGGAGTGGCTTCCTTGAAGCCCCTCTGTTTTACAGAGGATTGCAAAGCCCTCTGTACGAGCTCCTTGTACAGTGAAGAGTAAACAGATGCAATGTGGATACATCTTGCCATCATGTGGGCACGTTGCTCCTCACCCTGGGGTGGACAAGAGAAGAGTGCTGCAAAGGGAGCCAGTGCAAAAAGTTGATGGAACCATCTGGGGAAAGATGGCAGAGTCCCTGAGTCTGATTTCCTTGGCAGCAATTCATTCATCAGTCTTAAAATAACTTCCTGATCTTAGTCTTGATAATTTTTGGAGGTCACAGGAGAGGAGTGTTGGTCTGGAAGTATGATGTCACCACAGAAAGTGGTGGAGAGTGGAGAGGAAATAATACTTGGCTTGGTTCTGCATCTTCAGTCTCGTGTGAAATCCAACTTGGAACACTCCCTGCTAAACTCTGTAGGTACTGACTGCAGGATTATTCTCCTCATCAACGAAAATATTTCCCTTTTCTGACATTCCTGAATGTTTAAGCTCTGAGGTTAGACAAAATTACCTGCACATTCTTATTTTTTACCTGTTTCCCAGATGGCATAACAAAGCTGCAAAGTGTCTAATTAGCATCATGCTGGGGCACTTTCATTTAGATGCAGAGCACTTCTTCTCTTGAAATGACTTCAAAATATGCAGGATTAATGCCATTTTTTGTGGTGACCGTTTCTCTGTTGCTCGAAGTGAGAATGAGAATTGTCAGTAGTGAAAAAGGTTGACGGGAGATGACAGAAATTAATTCCCATATATTCATTTTCCTGGGAAAAGGGTCCAGCAGACTTCCTGTTGTTTCCTCCCTCAGCTGATAAAATGCTGTTCTGGTCTTGATGTGTAAGCATGCTGGAATTTGCAAGAGATCAGCTCCTGTTTTCGACTTTTAAAGGCCCAGGGCATTGCAACTTGGCAGATCTGCGCTGTGTCCCCTTCCGTCTTCCTCCTGCCCATCTGTTTGTGGGATTCTTGTGCCCAGTTTGCCTCCCTGTGGTCTCAGAGCTGTTGAGCCTCATCCTTGGAAGAGGCAGTGGTGGTGGCAAAGATCCTGCAGAGAGCTATTAAAGTGTTACCAACAGTGGGAGCCTGAGCTAGAAAGCTTTCTGGTAGCTGCCTGCTGCTTTCATGTCAAGCTGGCAGCAGCTTGGGGAGGAGAGGACACCCACCCAGAAAAGAAAAAATTGTAAATGTATGACAAAAGCGTTATGGTTTTGCTTTAGCTTTAAATGTTTGTTCATTAATTTCCCTTTCCTGAAAGACTGCTGTTCTGTGTGATGTCTGTCCCACTTTTGATTAGTTTTTGTTTTATCCTTGGTAGGTTAAGTTAGATTCCTGTCTAACTCTCTTATGATTGATGCAATTAGCCAGTATTAGTTGTGCCTGTTTGACTAAGCTGGGGTGCTTAAATGTGTTAGGAGTCAGTGAAAGCCATTACATTGTGCAGATCCGAACCTAAAATTTGAACTACAAAACCAGACTTTCCCTTCCTCTTCACAGGCTTGGAGGAAAGATGACAGCCAACTTTAGGTTTCAAATGTTAACCTGGAACTCTGCCTGCGGGTTCCCTCTGGCTTTTCAGATTTTAAGTTGAGAAATCAAAAGTTGTGGTTTTTTGCCTGGGCAGATTGTTTTAATTGTATTGTATTCTGTTGTATCAAATGAACTGTGTTGGTGGTTTGGGTATGGTTTGTTTGTTTGTTCTCTTTAATATCTAAAGTAGCAATACTTGGGTTTAGCGGGTTTTAGATTTAGCCTAGTTTGCAAAGAAGTGAGGTACTTTTTCCTAAACCTTAATTACTCTCCTGTTGCTGGAGCTTCTGAATCTGTTGGTAAATTATAATGAGCTTTTAAAAAGAGGTCTCAAAATAACTGGATTTTGTGAGAGTTTCTGTCAGGGCAGAGGAGGAGGAGATCCAAATTGCTGCCCACGAGAAAAAAGCAGGAAGAACTTGTTAGGTCCATTTGCTGAGCTGGCTGCTTCTGCTGGCACTTGCATCCTTCCAAAGTTGACATGATGTCTTTTTGTGTGATAGGAAAAGCAAGGGGTGTTGCAGTTGGGAGAGGAGCTTCAGGGCAAGACTGGAAGATAAATAATGACTTACTATTCTGAAGACGAACAGAATCCTATCACCTGGCTTAGCATTGCCCAAAATCCATTAGTCTTAGACTGTAGGAGCCTGGCAAAGTTAATATATTGGTTTCTTCAAGACAAATTTTACCTTCCTCTCTTCCTTCAAAGTTGCAGGCAGTGCTTTGGTCTGGATATGTCTCTGTAATTTCTTCCCCCCCACCCTTGATTTATAAATAGAATTATGGCTGTGGCTGTCACTTACTATATTAAATAGAGCCTCCCAAAACAAATTAATCTAAACTCTAAAAACAAGGAGAAGAATTGTTTCTTTGTGCTTCAGATAGCAGTGTGGAGGGAAGCTGCTACCTTATATGCTAGCAGAATCCAGGGAAGTTGCTGCTTTGTATGCTAGCAGAATCCAGTATGTTTGTCACGTTGTTCCTTGGTTAAAAAGTGTTAATTTTTCTCTTCAGCCAGCAGCTGCAACAGCTAGTGTTACTACAGTTACTGCTGTAAAGCCTTTGAGTACTGGAACACCTGTAAAACTTCCAGTTACAGGACCACCTGCACAAGCTATCTCCCAAAAGGCAGTCTCTGTGAAAGCAGAGGGCACAACAGTAGCACAGACCAGCGCTTCTGCAGTAAGGAAAAAAAAAGTTTTTAATTAAAAATTAACATTCTGTATGTTCATCAGAGGTTGAAGAGACAGTGCAACATCTAACAGTCTTCTCTTTATTTCCACACTAGGAGATGCTAGAGAATGTGAAGAAATGCAAGAATTTTCTTGCTACGCTAGTAAAATTGGCATCTAGTGGACCTCAAGCCCCTGAGATGGGGCAGAATGTGAAGAATCTGGTGCAAAACCTACTGGTGAGACTTTTTTCAAAACAAAGTCTGCGTCATTTGTCTATGAATTTTTGACATGTACTTTGTCATAGTTTTGTTCCTGTTATTTTGTAGCTTTTTTTTTTTTTTAACAGCTCAGGAGTTGGATTTGTGGCAGAATGCATCTGACCCTTGTTAAGTCTTACATTATAAATCTTACTTTTTTAAACTGAATCCCATGCTGTGTTATTTCCCCCCTCACATTTCTGTTTCACTTTATGCACACAGGTAACCGACAGCAGGAGGAGCTGGTAGTGTTAACACAGCTTCTGGGTATATTTTTTTTCATGTTAGTGTAGTTTTGAGTCCTCAGTAGCAACAATCTGGAGGTTGCAGTGCAGCACTAAGTCCATACTAGTGCTTTACTTCAAGACAGAACTGAGCAGAGGAACAGGAATGACATTATCAATAGTTTAAAACAGTAGGATGGAGCAAACAGTGTGGTGGCTGCCAAACTCTCTCTCTTTGCAGGTGGCTTCCGTATGGTGCTTTGTGCTGTATCCCAGCACAGCTGGGTTTTCCTGGTAACGATTTCTCCTGCCACTTCTTGTCATGGCATTTGACCGCTGCTGCTGTGTTGTTGTTCCACCCTAGCAGAAGGCTGCGTGCTGGTGGAGGGGGGTGGCTTTGCCAGTGGTACCAAAGGGCTTTTCAGTCTGGGAAGGTGTGATGTAGACAGGTGTAATTTCAGAGAGCAGATTGTTTGAAGAATGCAGCCTTGCAAAAATTTGATTCCTTACCCTCTGTCCCTGCGGGACTGTACACCTTCCTTCTGTGGGAAAAATTGAGTTGTTCTTTCTTGTGCTTACAGTACTTGTTGTTTTTTGGTTTTGTTTCTTTTTAAAGAGCAGTTATTAAGAGATGTTAATACATTGTTAACTGCACAGTTGTTTGCTTTTTGTAGTAGTTTAAAATTCTGCTATTTGGTATGTGTATGATTTAAATGCAAAATAAAGTTTTGTGTGCATGAGAGAAATGAGTAAATTGCAGCTGGGCAGCAGAATGATGCTTAAGGCAGCGTTTCATGAAGTGGGTGTCAAGCACCCTGTATGCACTGAGCCTTAGTGTGCCAAACCACTTGCATCTGTATCAGTGAGACCTCGGTGACCCATGTTTGCATCTCAGTGAGATCTAACAGGCAACTGATCAAGTGGCTAAATGGGAGAGCTGCTGGAAGCTCTGTTTGTCTGCAAAAACACAGTCTCTAAAATCCCTGTCCCATTTATCTAGCAACCTGGAACAGTTTCTCCAGAGGTGAATGTGGGTGAGAGGAGTAATTTCTCAGCAGAAATGGAGATTGGTGTTCCTTTTGTGTGTTTATACCTTTTTGGAGGAGGTAATGTTCTTGATGAGTCTGGGGCTTAACCCTGTGTGCAAGTGAGGGGTCTCAGAAGTTTACTCCAGCTTCCTAGCCCTCCCAAGCCCTTGAGTCAGGTATTTGTGTTGGGACAGGCTGGAAAGCATTAAGAAAGGAAACAGTACTCTGCAATTCAGAGGACTGTTACCTTGGGGGTATGCAGAAATGTTTCGATCATTTTGGAAAGACTGTGTTAAATGTTCTAATATGCTGTGTAATGCAGTAGTTTGGAATTGTCTTACCAAAACTGCTAAGTTGTCATAAGTCTTTGATGCCTCTAAGTTTATTTTTATGCAGAGAAACTACCTTTACTGAAAGAAGTACTAGTAGTTGATTTAACAGTGAGATACTCAAAAGGATCAGTGCTGCTTATAAACTTTTTTCTGTCCCTTCACTTCAGTGACTGGGTGTGAACACCTATCCCTAAGTGTGTTAACTGCCTGTAGCTGAAGAAAGCATAAACAACTTGGATAATACTATATGAACATTACAACATTATTCTATCCTGACTCCCTTTTTTTTTCTTTTTAAATAAAGCAGGAAAAAAGCATTTGAGTACTGAAATTGAACAATGCCACGATAATATAAGTTTCCATGACCTTTTGGTACGTCTTGAGGTAAATTCACTTATAACTTAAAATTATAATTTTATTTTCCTCTTAGGAAGCAAAAATTGAACCAGAAGAATTTACAAAAAACTTGTACACAGAGCTTAAGTCATCTCCACAACCATATTTAGTTCCTTTCCTCAAGGTAAGTGTCTGATTATGGATATGTAGTATTTAAAGAAGGAAGGGAGGAGGACCAGAAGAGAAGAGAGTTGAGGCATTCAAATTTGTTCAGGTCACTTGAAGAATGGTGCTTAGGATACCTCTGTGACTGTTGTGCTTGGAAAGACAATTCTTAAGGGGAGGAGGAGTTTTTGAGGAGTATTTTATGCTGTGTTCCTAATGTTGTAGAGTAATTGCCCTCTAGGTGTTAGGGGAGACTGGTGTGTTGGAAGCTGTGCATCTAGTCTACAGTAGAGCAGCTGTGGTAAGATAACCTCCTACTTTCTCATCAAAATTGTAGCAATTCTGAGTTCTAACTCAAAGGCTGACAGCAGTGGTGATGCACAAGCTTATGCCATGTTAAAGATCAAACAATCTGCATAAAGCTATTCATCTTCTGCTGGTTTATGTTTAACTGGAGACAGGAAAAATCTCTGCCCCTTGCTCCAGAAAGGGTCTGATAAGACTACTGTAGCTTAGGAAAAGAATCCCAGGGACTCTACTTCTGTTCAAGCAAATAATCATATAAAGGAAAAAATGCTTCCTTGAGACTTTTAATCATATTATAGAATGGTATTAACAAAATAAAAAATAATTATACAGCAAGCATTAAATCTCAGTGAAAACATGGAAAACTATGTTAAGTTTACTAAATTCCAGTGTGCACCATACTCTTAGGTTTGTTGGACCTGTACGTTCATTATAGGCGTGATGGTGAATAAAGGAAGAATAGTTAAGTGGTAAAGCTGGGACAGAGTTTTTCTGGAGTTTGCCCTCTTCCTTGGTATTTGATGGGCCATATAACAATGCATGTGATAATGTTCATATTTGCTCTAGATGGCTGCTGCTCATCTACTGAAATCTGGGATAAAAATTTTCCTTACAGTGGCAACTTTTAAATGCCTTGCTAGCAAGTTTGCCATGAGTCTGAAAGAGTGCAGTCATCTCTGCAGCACCTTAAGCTGAGATGAGAGATTCAGATTTGATATTAGAAAAAAAATTGTCACTTTTAGGATGGTCAGGCATTGGAATGGGTTGCCCGGGGTGGGTGGTGCAGTCACCATCCCTTAGGTGTTTAATAGGATCTGGATCTGGTGCTGGGTGATGAGATTTAGTGGTTTAGGGGATACAGTAGTAGTGCTGGGCTGACAGTTGGACTTGATGATCTTAAAGGTATAAGGTCTCTTCCAACCTTGATAATTCTATGATACATAAAATTTTATGATTTATTAAACAGGTCATTTATTACCTGTTTAATTTCCTGGAGGCTTCTTAAATGGCCATGCAAAAGCCAGAAAAATACACAGCTCTGAGAATGGGTTTTCTGCATGCAGTGTGGCTCTGGCTGCAGAAGGACCAGGCTGTGAGTACTTGGTCAGTGTGACTGGCACTCACAGAAGTGCTCAGCTCTTCCAAGAAGCCATCCAATGATGTGAAGAGCTGCTACACTTGATGCAGAGAACTCAAGGCATTTCTGCAGGGGTTAAGTTGGGTTCATCAGTGTGGGTCAGACCCTGACCTGTCACAGCAGAGCCCTTGTGTGTTCCTTCTGCAGTGCACTGCCAGGTACTGGCATCATCTAGGCTTCTCTGATTTGTGCAGTCTCCATACCACATAATCCTTGGCATGGTGCTCTCTCCCTGTTGTGTGCTACATTAACAAAGATATACTGTGACTTCAGAAGTGTTGTTCAGACATGGTCAGAGTTAGCTGACTTTGCAGTGTTGCCAATCCTTTAAAGCATCTTGCACCCAGATTGCCTTTTCCTGAAACACTGTAAGGATGTGTGGCTGATACATACAATTAGGTTGATCTGTAACTCTGAGCAGCTGTGACAGGACTGAGTGCCAAATGGAGGATGACTTCAGGAGCACTTCTCGAAGGTGCTAAGAGGATCAATGCTGGCCTTGTTTGTGGGGGAAATGTTTACAGCTTCAGTCTGGAAAGAAATGTGATACGGCATTTTGCCAATCCACTTTTAGCTAGTGAAGTGGAATTTTAGGGAGGTCTCTCTGGAGCCAGCTCTTATCTTTGAGCTGCAGGTTTTTGATGAAGTTGTGCATGTGTTTCGTTTTGTCTGTTCCAATAGGTGGAAAAAGTACAGTGGCTTTGGCTGTGAAGCCTGCTTGATTTTCAAGTCTGCTGGATGCTTTTGGTACAAAAATTGCATCAGGAGCTAAGCAGCTTTTTAAAAGAAAAGGAAGTGAATGTTAAAAAACAGATGGGCTGCAAAAGGTCCAGTTGTGCAAACAGTATGATTACTTGGTACGCTAGCATGTGAGACATGCACCTTTTGCATGAAGTCCAAAGTGGCAGCACTGTGTTAGGAGCTCTTACAAACTTTAGCAACTATTAAGAACAGAGGAAAAAATACAAGGGTTTTCAAGAATATACAGGTAGCTGCAGAACTGATTTCCCCTGCTTCAGAGCTATAGCAGATTATAAACAGTGAAGGAGAAAAATCTGTAGAGAGTTTGAAGATTATTCTGTCTATTAACCTTCTCAAACACAGCTGTAGTAAAAATGAGATGTTGCCAGATTCCTTTACTTTTGTTCTCCTTTTGCAGAGAAGTAGCTGGCTGAAGTTGTGTTGCTGCAGCTCTACAGACATTATTAAAGTGGTATCCCCCCCTAGTGTAGATACAGCTGTATTGGTATAAAAGTGTTCTTGTCTTCAGAGCTTGTTCCTGACTTTATTGGATAATTCGTAGCTCCCTGTCAGGCTCCATGAAATAAACACAGCTGTTCCAATATAGCAGGGGGTTTTGGCAAGACAAAATTCTTTGAGGTAATAAAGCAGTTAAAATCATCTTACTCTGAAACATAAATTCCAAATTGAAAAATCTAAACAGAAGAACAAAGTAATATGTGAGTTTCCCTATAGATGGGATTACTGTGTGTAGTGTAGCTGTGGTGATGGTTGACCTTTGCTCAGCTGGTGTTGGTGTTTCTTGTCATCTTCACTGAACAGGATTGTCCTCAATTAAAGCATGCCTGAAATTTAGCAAAACTTGTTTGCCATTTATTGTCTCATGAAAAATTTAATTGGGAAATTAGGGAGAGGATTCAGTTAAAAATGTATTATTATTGTGGAAAACTCTGCTGCTACTACATCCAGTGTTTTTTCATTTTTCTTTTAGAAAAGTGTGCTTGCCTTACGACAACTAATGCCTGATCCTCAGAGCTTTATCCAGCAGTGTATGGAGCAGCCAGCTCCAACCCAAGAAGAGGTTTCCATTTGTCCCTCTGCAGCACCAGCTCCTTCGACAGGAGCGGCAACCTCTGCTGTAGCAACAACTGCTCTTCCAGCTGTAAAACCCTCATCTGCAGCGGTCACAGCCCCTGTAGTTGTCACACCAGTCCTTGCCAGCACATCAGCAGCAGCTCCTCTGCAGGCTGTGAAGGCTGTTCCTTCCCCTGCCACAGGGACAGCGGCGCTGGGGCCCGCAGCTTCCGTCCTCACCGCAGCCGTGGCATCGTCTGGGCTGACCGCTGTCCAGCCTGGCAAGCCAGTCCTCACCACTGCAGTGCCAGCACCCTCTCTGCAGGCTGCAAAGCCAGTGCTGGTCTCTACAGTGGCATCTTCAGCAACAACCCCTCTCCAGCCTCTGAAACCAGTCATTGGAACCCCAGTTGGCATTAAAATCTCGCAGCCCAGCTCCATCGTGGCACGGTCAGCGGGTGCTCCGCAGGTGGTTAAAGTGAAGCAGCTGGTAAGACGGATTCTCTGCTTCTCTGTAATAACCCAGCTCCTTTACTTTGACTCTTGCCATTTAATAAAGAGGATAACAGTTTGGACCTCTGGTTCTTCTTTTGTTTTTTCTTTTAAATGTATGAAGCTAGTCTGTCTTGAGTCCAGCAGTTATGTTTGTGATAGTTTAGAAATGCTGAGCCCTTGCTGGAAAGGTGAATCTAAAGCCAATCTGTCAGCTTGGTCTCTTGTAAGACACGTTGACCACCATTTCACCAGACTGAACACCCTTTTTGAGAGGCGGAGGGATACGAGGTCTAGCCCCCACCACGCACACAGCCAGGCTAGGTTGGCACCTGGAAGAAAAGTTAGGAAATGCAAGTGTCAGACACAGAAACTGCTCATGAGATACTTACACTGATTGCTCTTGGATGTCCTGTTAGAGCTGTGCCTCAGCTAGCCACCAGGGATGCCAGTCTCTCTCCCCTGGTAGTTCCTGCCCTGGCTACTTGACAGGCACGGGTGGCTTGATATTGTTCAGTGATATGTTATCTGAAATGCATGAACTACCTTAAAGAGCTTTTCTGAGCTGAGTTCTGACCTCCACATTTACTAAGACATGTTAATTATGAAGTCATCCAAAAGTGAGTTTTTTCTATCAGGCCTCATTAGCTAACAAATTCCAGGAGGAATAACTGTCTTATTAAAACAATACCCTCAAAAGCAATGTGTTAACGTTTTTTATTCTTGGCACAGGTTAACTTTTTGCTAATATTAATATTAAATACCAAGAAACTGTGGGTCACAGGTATACCCAAAAGAACAACTTTGTGAAATAAATTAGGTTTGGCTTATAGGTGTTTAAGATACCAAGTAGCATGGTGTCCAGCTGGTCTACATGTAAGTAATGCTTTCAAGTATTTTAGAGAATTAGTCTCCCTTTGGCAGATAAAGAACTCAATTCTTGCAAAGGAATTCCTTGTAAAAAAATTTTTCTTTAAAAAGTGGGAAAACCTTTAGACTTCCTGTGAAACTAGATTTACTTTTCACAGGTATGGTAGGACATCTGCTGTGTGAGTTTTCTTTTTAGCTTGGATATTGTGTATACTTGATTTAACAGTGTTCAGACCCCTAAAATGTTTTGCCTTTTTAGTTTCTTTCCTTTCAGAGGAATTAAGGTAGATATAATACAAGAATCCTGCATTCTAAATAAAGAGTTCACGCTATGGTAGCGTAAGCATGAGCTTTTCACCTTTCCAGACTTGCTTAAAACTGTATGGGGTGGATGGAGAGTTCTTTTTCTGAGTGGATTTGTTAAAAAAAAAAAAAAAAAGAGGCAAAATACCCTCAACCCCAAAACTCCAAAGAAGAGTTATTAAGCATATGCACTGACATCTTGGCTAGTAGTAGCTAAAGTCAAATTGGAAAAGGAGTTGGTACTCATATTGTCTTCGAGGACTAAGTTTGAAATTCCAGCCAGAAGAAAAGGAGAATTTCTTAGGTAGTACAAGGGCAGGAGAGCAGTTGTTGGCTACACAGCAAGGCTTGTAATCCAGGGGAAAGGTTGACCATCTGTACAAATAGGCAAGGAAGCTTAGCTCCACACAGGGGAGTCAAAACACTTCTTGAATTTGATATTGGTGAACTCAAGAAATGGCTTCTACCTCTACACTGCTGCACTGTGGCAGTCTGCTGCAATTGCCTTTCTTTGCTGTGCCTTACATATATTGAATTGCATACAAAACATGGTTTCATCCTCATTTTGGGCAGACACAGTGACTAAAATGCTTTTCTCAGATACAGTTGAAGGACTGAGTTGATTGCTTCACAGTTGAGCCATATCAAGAGCTTGGTGTTTGTTCAGACAACTTACTAGCACAAAGGGCAAGTCAGTAGAAGTGGCTGTGTCTCCTATGACTGTCCTGGTGCCTTCTCTTGAAAGGGCAGAGGGTCTGTTTTCTCCCATAAGAAAACAAATCTGGACCTGCCTTCCCTAAACAGAAGGGTCCTACTGCCAGCTGAAAAAGGAAGCACACTGCCAGCTGTGCAAATCTGTCCATACAATGCTGCCAGCAGTTCTTTCCCTTTTCAGCCCACAGGGATGTCTGATGCCATACACTCCCTCTGTATGACCCTTTCTAATTTTGGCCTCTTGTGCTTGAGAGAATTTGAACTTTCACGTGCCAGCTCCATTATAATATTGGTGGTGCTCAAGAGTGCAGCACTGCTGTATTTTAATATCAAATTTGTGACTGGAGTGATGCAACACAAAACTTTTCATTTCTGCAGCATTATTATCAAAACTCTGTGTGGACACTGAGGGGCCTGTTCTTCAGGAGTACTCTTGGGATTGATTGCACTCCTGTGCTGTGGCAGTTGCATATTTTGAAGGATTTTCTCAACACCATCTCATTTAAGGTTGTTGGCTTACAAAGACTTTTCATCTTGGAAATAACGTTTGTGTTGCTTTAGTATTGCTTTGTCTCTTGTTAAAGCACAATAAATGAAAATTTACATTACCAGATGCTGGGATCCATCGGTGAGAAAGCTGCTGTGAGATCACAGCTTCACGTCAGGCATAACCAGCCCTAGAGGGGTTTATGGTATAGTCCCCACAGTTACCAGTGAGACACACTGCCTGGAGATTATTAATGATTGAACCAAGGAGTGAAGTGTTTATGCTGTTGCAACTGCTTGTTCTTAGTCAGTTGTTAGTGTCATGGCCCCTTGGAGCTGAGCTTTCATGAACCACCTTCTCCATTATTTTTTTTTGTCCTGGTTATTGCTCTTGCATTCAATTAATGAGGCTTCCTTCATGAACCAATACTGCTTGTGTGTGATGATACTTCAGCATTCCTCTGCTGATCTCCAAACTTTGTTTTATGAATGTTAAACAGGTTCAGTGAGACTAATCAAAGTCTCTTTCAGGCAGCTGTCTCTTCATTGTCTGCTGAATGTTGTGTTGCTTTTTTTTTTAACCTAAGAACATCAATAATTTTATTCTGATGTCTGTGTCAGCCTGCTTAACAGGGCACAAAGGAACAGTCCCTTTTCTTTATTATTTCTTACTGCTAACCTGAAGAAAGGATATTCTCACAGATATTACTGATGTTGGTAATGCTTCATTCTCACATTGGATCCATATTGAAATTTCCAGTATTGTTGTTCTCTCCCATTGCAACTCTCAAGGACTTCCAGCTTTTGTTAGTCTAGAGCTAGAATGGCAAATAGAAAATGAGCTCTACTGCCAGCACATCCTCTCTGTTTCTTGGCAATGTAGCCTCCTTGGTTACTTGATTTACATCCCAGTCTTCACTTAGACTGTTGTTGTAACATTGCTATCTCTGTCCTTTTGTCTGCTGTACCTCAGTCTGGAATGCTTATGTTTCCTCCTGTGCTGCTCCAGTGTTTTGCATGCTGAAGATGAAGCACCATTCTTCCTGGTGGTAAGGAGGGTCTCTAGGTGTGTGTTAGTGCTAGTGGAGCCTGTGAGTAGTGTGTCCAAGCTGCTTGGCTCCTCATTAGTTACCCGAACTCACAAAAGATGCTGCTAACGTTATTCACAACTTGCAGTTTTGGAAGCTGGATCTTTCTGAGAGATCAAACTGAGCTGTGGGAAAAACACGTAGAAGTAAACCTTAGCATCTGTTCTGCTCCATGAGGAAGTGCTGCATATGTGAGCCTCATCTCTGTCCACAGTCTGTCCCTATATTCCTGTAGTTCTTTCCTCCTCTAGATCTTCGTGTTAGCTGTCTGTCAGGTTTTCAGACACCACTTTCAGATCAGTTATTCTATTACTGCTGCTACACCAAGCCTTAGTGCTACCAATTCAGAGATGGTTGAGAGGTTATCTTGACTCTTTGATACACAAAGTATCTTTTTGTGAATGTATGGTGCTCATGTTGATGATATTTATTAATAGCAGAGAAGTTAGGTGACAGGAGAGAGCCTAATTTCTGAAGTATTGTAAATGTCAATTCTTTAATTACACTTGTGCAAGCACTCTCTAGACTTTCTGAAGTGATGAAAGATGCAGAGGAGAAAAATGGTTTCTTGACCCTGTCATTTTCTTTGTTAGTTTTCTGCTGCTGAAAAAATAGGATTCAGTCTGAAGATGTTGATTTTATGCTTTGGTGAATTAACATATTTCTACTGCCTGTAATCAATAACTTTTTTTAAGCATATATCAAAGCTCCAGCCCACATTCTGCTAGTTAGGAGGCTTAGAAGTGAGATTTTTAGGGATGCTGCAATTTTATTACTTTCTTGCATTTTAATAGTTGCCCCTGAAGAGGAAGGATTAGTATTTATGGGCTGTGCCTGTAGGTCTGTGTTGTGGTGACATCCTGCTGTCTGGTTTTGTTTCTTTGAAGAGTCTCTTTAAACAAAACTATGAACTGCCTTCCTTTTTACCCTTCAGCTGTGTACTGATGTCTTTGTGTAGAGGCTCTGCTTGCTATAGGTGTTGCTATTTAGTACTTCATGTTCCTGGCAACTGTTTAGTGTATTTTAGTTAAACACCTTGAGACTCAGCATCACAATTTACAATTGATGTTGCAATTCCAAAAACATATTGGTAATTTTATAGAGCATGTACTCTTTAATTCTTAGCAGGTACAGTATTTCGTGCAAGACTTCAGTTGTTTTGGTGTTCTCCCTTTTTGACTAGGTGTTTGTGATACCTACCCTTTTGAAGTTACTGGCAGAGTCACTCTTTAATAGTTAGCCTGCTGAGTGAGGTAGAGGAAAGCCTCTCAGTGTAATGGCTTGTGTGATAATTAGTGACACTTGTCAAACAGAGTCATCAGTAAAGAATAGGGGTGAAGTGTCTGTTAGAGCTCACTGAATGAGCTTAAAGCTCACTACCACTTGTTAAGATTTCTTGACATGAAGTTTAAAAAAAAAAAGGTCTTTTCTGAGCATGCTGTTTGCTTTAAACTGAAAACTAGACAAGCATACCTGCCCAGTGGCACTTCTGGCTAAATGGAAATATTGATGCTGTTTACTTCTCTGTATTTTTAGCTCTTCTCACTGTTGATGTTGGATATTCCACTTCCAGGTAGTCCAGCAACCATCAGGAGCCATTGTCAAGCAAGTATCCACGCTCCCACAGCCCTCAGTGCTCACCCTACAGACATCTGCTGAGAAGAAAATGCCACTGAATACCCTTGTTCAAACCAGCCAGTTTCCTGCAGGTAAAGTGCAGGAACCTCTTTCATGGAGAAGGGGGAGGACTGCTGAGGTATAGAAATAACTGCAGGCTGTTGGTAGATTGTAGGAGTGCAAGAAGGTGGCTGTCTGTCGGGAGCAAGCAGCTCTGTGCATTAAGTTGAACATCTTTACTGTCTGGAGCTCTGATGAGAAAATCAATGTCACATCTACTTCTGGCACTTGTTAAGAGCACGTCAATCAAATATTTGTACTTGTTAAAATACCGTGACTGAGCTCCTTGCAGTGAACTTCCTCTAAGCTGATGATTTTGAGAGTTACTTCATGAGGCCTTGCTTTTTCCTTCAACAGGTTTAGGCTGATGCACAGTAAGAGTTTGTCTCAGCCAGTGAGTTTTCACTGAAACATTTCCCTGGTCAGCACAGAAGGGAGGGTGTTTGCTGGGAGTGTGTGAGGCTTTGGGCCATACAGAACTTGCAGAATGTAAGATTCTAGAGTGTCTGGTTTTCAGATGGACCCAATTAGTTGTTACTGAGTAACCTTACCTAGAATAATGAACTAACTAAACAGTTGTTTTAGCATTTTTCTTTGTACTACAGCCTGTTCTTTGTTTTGTTTTAGGTTCCATTCTGAAGCAAATTACCTTGCCAAGAAATAAAATTCTGTCGCTTCAAGCATCTCCTGTTCAAAAAGTGAAAATGAAAGAGAATGGAGCAACATCCTTCAGGTAAAAATGAACAATATCAGAAGTTAAGTATAAAAAGGAACAAAAGGAAGAAGCAAGTATAGAGATGGGAATGGAGCCCGAATAATAGCAACTTTCTTCAGAAGCTTTTTTTCTGCTACATGTTTTTCACGTCACAATACTCATGGGCAATGGGTAACCTTAAAACTTCTATGCAGATGTTAATTATTCTTACTGTAAGAAAACTGTCCTGGTGAGGTTGGGTTTTGTGTCAGCTTTTCACTAACATGTTTTCCATCCTGTGAGTACAATTATTAATCTAGTTATCTTGTAGTAAAGTCTCTCAACAGGATTAAAGCAGACAGAACCTCTGGTTTTTGCATATAATCTGATAGCACTGAGCTGTTACTTGGACTGGCTTGTAACCTGTCTAAAGCTCTGTGCCACATTTCAGAATCTTTAATTAGCTCCTTGTTTCTGTGTGTATGGTGAAAGTCTTTGACTACATGATTTCTAACATGTTCTCTAGGCCTTTAGATTGCAAGAGTACTTAAAGCTTTTAGTTCTGGCAACTGATTAACTTTTCAAAGGCAAAAATTATTTTTGCAGCTATGAAGTGTGATGTTGGAATAGAGGTACAGACTGCCATAAGCATTATTAGTCATACCACTTCAGGGCAAGTTTGGCATTGCTCTTCCAAGGGAAAAAAGCAGACATGATGACACCCCTATATTGTTGACCAGTTGACTTATCATCTGTTGAAAGCTGCAGCTTTGAATGCACTGGTCTAGACAGAAAGCTGCTGCTGTTTACAGTAGCATACAGTATACAATGAACACTTAAATAGTGTGGTTGCCAGAAGCTGGAATGAAAAGCTCATATTGAAGCAACAGCTCTGTTCATCCGCCTCAAGGTCTTATGAAATATACTTCAGAATGTAATGTGGGATGTAATTTTGGGTGGTGATGTTTAAAAAAAATCACCCCTTCATAAATATAGTAATAAAAAAAAGCAACAATGAACAAACCCATACCCAAAAAAGAAAAAAAAAATTCTGTGATCTTCCAAATCGAATATATTAGCTGTCTTACATAAGAAATTTGAATTCTTGTAAGTCATTCCCTGAATTGTTAAATTCATACTGTAGGGAAAAACCTGCTTTTACAGTGTAATTCAGTAGAGATTTCTCTTGCTTTTGAATTGTGATCTTCAAAGTAGCATAAGTCCATGAGAATTTAGATAGGAAATCTCTAACTCACCCTAAATTTTCTTTGTAGAGTCTCTTGTCTCTGAAGAATTTGTCTTTGAATACACCCTTGGTGTTTCTTCTATTCACTGCTATAATCAAACTTTCTCACCTATGATCAATCAACTGCTGATCGTGTGTGAGGCAGAGAGAGGCACCATGGCCTGTTTTCAGATTTTGTGATGAAATTTGTTAAATGCAGAGAGTGTGTCTTGTAATTGATGTGATTATACATGTGGCACTAATGAGAGTGCCCTTACTGTGCCCTCTCACTGCAGTGTGTCATGGAGCCTGACTCCTCTGCCATTCTGTGACTAGGCCAGGTTAGGATTTGAGGACATTCTACTCACTGAGCTGTACTTAATTAGCTGCAGTTTGACCTTGTCTGTCTGCTCTTAAACACGCTGCTTTAGGTTGCCTGAGATAAGCAGTAGAAAGAGTGGTGATTTCCTGCCCCCCAAGCAAACAAACAGAAAAAAACCCAACAAAACATAAAGCATTCCAACCTTCTAGATGTTATTTCAGCTGAGCATGGACATTGCCCCATGGCATGTAAAGAAATAGCCTGGTTTTGAAAAATCAAGATTTTTGTAAACAGATCTACACGTTTCTGTAAAGTATATGCTAGAGCACTCTGGAAAAAAAGTAAATCACATATTTCATCTTCAAACATTTGTTTTGAATTTATTCTGTTTAATAGAGTTGTTGTCCAAAGCACAGGCAACTTTCTGGCTTGGCTGCAATTGTTCTGGCCTGGGTAGTTGTCAGGGAGGGTGCACGGAGGTTTGGGTTCAGTGTGTCTTTCTAGTTTTCCCTTTGACTCTTGGATAAAATGGAGTAAATTAGGAGGATTCAGGAGACAAGTGCTGTCATCAGACACCAGAGGGTGCCCCAGACTCACTTTTCAGGCAGCAGGCAAATTCATAGATCTGAGGTGCATCTGCATTGCCTGGGCTTCTTTTGCAGTGAATATCCAGTAGAAATGTCAAACCTGACTTTGTGTGGTGTATCTCTCAGAACTTGTGAGTTCTGCTTTCCCCCTTATCCTAGTAAACTTAAATCACTGGAGGCTTTTAACAGCTGGATGAGTTTTTCCTGCTCATTCCTGAGTGTGACATGATCAAATGTAAAGAGCATTAAAGGAAGTGGTGCAGGAAAGGGGCTTTATGGAGGGATTTAAAAGTGAAAGCAAGTCAATATCCATCAGAAACACCTTCGTGTACACTCTACAATATTTTAAATTTATCACCTTAGTAGAATTTTTTCTACAGCTTACTCAAAGTACATGATACCTTACTTAAAATGATTGAAGTTTGTTTGAACAAAGAAAAAATAGTAGTAAAAATTATGAATTTACCATGGCTTCTGTAACTTCCATTAATCTTTAGTGAGCACTTTCCTAGGGAATATAGTGGTAATTTCTTTGGGGTAAGTGAAATAAGTGCAACAGTGTTTTCATTTATTTCATCAAAGCTTGACTTAATGCAAACTTAGGTGTCACAGTGAAAAAGTTAGAATTGGTACTAACAGTACTAATTCTATCTAAAAGAACAGTACAGATAGAGATGTCTGCTTGCATTTAAGTCTTGTATGCTTGTACCCACTGGAGAGACTGTGTGCATGGAAATAATCAAGAAAATAGTACCTAGTAAAGGCAGGTTATAAACAAATGAAACTTCTCTATGTAGAAAAATGGAAGATAGAAGTTTATCTGTTCTTTGCTTGAGTGTTTTGAGCATGTGGCCAGATTAAAAGTAAAAATGATTTCCTGAAACTGCATGCTATGCAGTTGTACTTGGGGTGTAAGCATCCTTCTGGCATTCCATAAACAGTTCCACTGGAGTAGTGTCAGGTTCCAGCACTGATAGCTTGTGATGTGTGTTCCTGGTGCTGGTTGTGCTGATTTTGTCAGCAGATATGTGGCAGTCGCTGTGCTTCAGTGGGATTCTTGTCTCTGCCATCAGCAAAGACTTCTCTGTAGTGGTCACTAAGAAGAGGAAACTGGAATGTACTTGTGAAGATCAGTTAGCACTCAATTATCATCCCATGAAGCTTCATTGACAAGCTTGTTGGAAGTTCAGGGTCTCTGTTAGGCTGATAGAGCCTGAGTATACACTTGGAGCTGCTCAGCTGCTGGTTGAGAAGGGGTAGGAGGAGGGAAGCTGTTCTGGCACTGTTGGCTTCAGCTTTAAATCGTAGCTGTGGACATCCAACTGTTCTGACAGTCCTGGGATATAACACTTTCTTTAGCATGATGGATTTGGGGCACAGGCCTGGTTGGGAAGCTATTGTGTCTAGTTAGACATAAAGAACTGGAGCTGGTTTGAGAATCTGTTGGGTCTCCTTTTCCCTAAACACACTCACACATAGGAACTGCTAGCAGTGAGGGCACACGAATGGAAGGAGGGGTAGAAGGTGGCTGGACTCAAGGCTGGACTCCTTTTCTGTCTGGGTCTCTCACTGGAAGTTTGCAGAAGAATTGTGCCATAGAAATATACTGAAACCCAAAGGAGAAAATGCATCTGTAGTTTTAAGAAAAATATCCTAACATTTTCTTGTGTCTTTTGAGTATTGCTTAACCTCAACCCTAACTCATGTTCTAATAACTTTAGCTTCTGCCTCTAGTCAGTCAAAGGATAGCCTCCAAGAAATGTCATTTCACCTTAGAATGACAAATTCTAACCCTTGTTCAAGAGTTATTGAGGCCACACAGTGTTTTCTGAAGGTGAACTTTATCAAACCTTGCCAGAGAATACTCTTCAAGAGGGGTGTGTGTGTGTGTTGGTTTTGTTTTCTGTGCTTTCCAAATAAAAAGATGTTCAGATTGAGTGATTTTACTTACCTGTCCTAATACTATGGATGTCTGTTTTGGATTGGTCCTAAATCCCTGAAGCCACTGTTAGGGCCTTTGTCACATTGTGAAGTAAAAATGCTTTCTCTTGGTGGTCTGAACTCATTTGATAAAAACTTGGATTGTTTCACTGCCAAAGTAGTGCAAGAACTTTTCCCTATAAAATTCATTCAGTATTTTAACTTAAATGATCTCTTAAAAAAAACATTAGGCTGAAGCACACAGGCTATTAAAGCTAGTCTGAGTGATGTTCACCCTAACTGAGTTTTTATTATTAACATATAGTCCAAAGCTGCTACATGAGAATCCAGCTAATGGTGTTACCAGCTAGAGCTCTGGCATGGTGCTTCAGAAGCAGTGGCATCTTCCCTGCTGTGTATACAAGTATGGTAGGACTGATCAAAAGTACCTGGATTGGTTTTAGTAAGTAATCATGGAGCGTTTGTGTCCTGTGTTTTAAGGGAACTCGCTAAAGAAAACTGAAGATCATGTCTGTGCTAATAAGCCTGTGCTTTAAGCCTCAGTTTGCAAGATATGCATCTTGGTTAGAAAATGGGCTTGTTTATAGTCCAGTGAGTCAACATTCAACTTCATTCCATGCTTGGTTCTACCTGGTGAATTAGTTTTAGGACAAATTTCAGGCTGCAAGAGTGGTGGTGCAGGGTTAGGGGTTGTGGGAACTTTTAATCTGGGTTTAACTCAGTCCTAGGTTTCCAAGCTGGCTCAAAATTTCAGTTTCATATAAAGGATTTGCATGCCTAGCAACTGAGGCATTAGCCAAATTAATGTTTCAGAGGCACCTTGCAGAAGTGTGGGAGCTTTTAGGAGCTCCCTGTCCACACCCACGCTGAACATCTGTTGTATACAGGGAATGTGAATGTGGCTGCTTGTTGATAGTTGAGACTTTTTCTTTGTGTCTGTTCTAAACAAAGCATAAAATGTTGGTCTCCTCTTTTGTAGAGATGAAGATGACCTAAATGATGTGACTTCTATGGCTGGGGTTAATCTCAGTGAGGAGAATGCCTGCATTTTGGCAGCAAACTCTGAGCTTATTGGCACAGTGATTCACTCTTGTGCAGATGAACCGTTTCTGTCTCTGGAAGCTCTTCAGAGTAAGATCTTGAACATAGGTGAGAACACAGCACACACAGCAGATATGTATGGATGTAGTGTTTCCTTGCCTCTTTCATCAGCCTGCCTCAAATCTTTGAAGCAGGACCTGGAACTATTATGATCTACCATCTCATATGTTTCTACCAAACAATACTGAGTTTTCACTTCCCCTTCTAGGAAACAATTGTCCTTTAAGGTTTTCTTTACATGGAAACAGTATGAAGCACAACCAGAAAAAAGAAACTGATGCCACTTTAACATGTGAGAAGTGAGCACCTTTCTTACTCTTAAACCTAATACAACACTTAACAACCATAAAGGTGCTAGCATCAAAACACTTAAATGTGCTTTTTTGTCTCAGCAGCTTCTAACTTGCTGCATTACACTGACTTCCCTAACAGTTTTTGCATTCCTTTTCCTTCCTTCCTAACATTAGGAAAAAGTTTCAAACTTCCAGTACACACAGAGCAGAGCTTTGTTTATGACTCCCTTCATGGAAAAAACTTTTGTTAATTTTATATAAAAGAGATGTTTAAGCTGTCTGTATAATGAGTAATACTGGGGAATATATGTTGAATGCCTGTGTTACAGGAAGTTTCTAATGTAGATATCATTTCTTTTGAGCAAAAACAATAAGTGTTGCTTAGTAATGTTGTGTTATGTCAGAGCAGGGAGCATGCAGTTGTGTTGCAGCACACTGGCTGGTCCCAGTTTGCTGTTTGTCAGCAGCAAACTTCATGCTTGTTGCTCAGCTCTTTGCTTGTGCCCTCTGCCCAGTACTTGCTGTACTGGAACACTGAGTTTTACAGCTGAGCATCCAGGAAAGCCTGAATGTACAGTCACAATTCTGTCACAGTGGCTTAACCACATGTTCACAAAGTCTTTCTGTTTCCACACACAACTGGTTCTTAGTCCAGAGTGAGCAGCCAGCCTGTGACAAGCACATAACCTGCAAATGCTACTTGTGACCTTGGTGCTCCTGCCCCAGTCGGCCAGATGTGTCATCTCGAGCTGTATGGGGCATAGCAAATACTGTGTTACCAGTGGCAAAGGGAACGTGCACATCAGACCTGGTGCCCAGAAGATGTTCTCAAACTTCAGTAGAAGATGAATCAGTCATTTGTGGGAAGTGGATATTAGGAAAAATAAAGAGCTCTGCAAAACCAGAGAGAGTATTTCTAGAATAATTTGCTGGTTGTGGGTGTAAAGACACTGTGTTGAAAGATGGAAAATAAAAGCCTGGCTGTTTCATAGCTAGAATGGTAGTTGTTCCAAATTAATAATAATAATAATAATAGCAATATCAATAATTCATGTCATAAATGATAAGTGCTTGTTTGCAAGGAAAGGAATGCTGCCAGAGAGCAGAGCAATTCAGAAAGTTAACATGTCTGCTTTTGAACTGAGCCATCTTTGGATTAAGAAATGTGTGTATAGGGAGGTCTTGAGGTTTGGGGGGATTTTATTTTGTCTTTAAGTTGGTGTTTCAGTAATCTGATAGTCTAGTGAGAGCTGCAGTATTTAAAGGTGCTTGAGCAAAAAAAGCTTTGCACTCAGTTAAGTTACAGGCCAGTGCTTACTGCTCAAAAAGGGGAGTGCTTTGATTGTATCTGGGAAAACATTCTAGGTTCTCCCTGCCTTGTGAGATTGCCATTCATTTTCAGTTACAGCAGCAAAAGCAAATGAAATAGGTGATTAGTTTTTTTACAGCGCGCTGTTTATCCATTCTTAACACTTCGCTTGGCAGTAAATACTGAAATGGGTTTTGAAGGCGTGCTGTATATTGCATCATAAAGTATTACAGCTGCTGTAAATGCAGTGCAGGGCAAGGGAAAGTGCTTCTGACAGGTACAGCGTATGAGGCATGTGGAACTGCTGCCTGCCGTGCCCACCAGGGAAAAGCCGCAGCCGCCCAGGTGTCTCGATGGCGCCGCGCTGAGTGATGGATGGTGTCAGCCATGGGAAGGCTTCTCCTTGGCAGCCTGCAGCCGCGGGAAGGTCACAGAGGTGATGCCCAGCTCTGGGTGCAGGGCCAGCACAGCCTTGCCTGGAGCTGGCACCAGCCTCGGTCGCAGCTGCTGAGACGCGGAGATTCAGCAGCAGCCCGGGAGGAAAGGTTGAAGGTGGTGGCAGGAGGAGCCCGGCTGGACTGGAATGCGCGCTGTCCCAGCGGCTGCTGTGGCTCGCTTGGGTCTGGCTGCCCCTGTCGGTCGGCCAAGGCACTTTGGAGGGTCTCGTGTGCCTGGAGTGCGCTGCAAAACCCATTCCTGCTCGTCAAATAAATGTCATGAGTTGTTAACAAGCACGGTGTCAAGCAGGGCAAAATGTAATTCTGTATTTTTTTAATTACTGGAATTAACAGAATATGGCACTAATTTCTACAGCTACCGCTTCTCCCCCTCCCTGAACATGAAGCTTGATTTGTGTTCTTATTAACTTTGTCCTATAAATGACCTTGCAAGGAGAGTGGTTCTGGAGGCTAAGTGAAACAATGTCTATATTTTCTGAAGCTCCAGGCTAAGTTTTATTAATGTAATGTCTAAGATCTTTGAAGTTGTGACTTTACCAGGAAAATCATAATCTCCAAACCTTTATTCATAATGGGTATGACTTCCAGGGGGAACAGAATACCTGCTGTGCTAATTATTTCAATTATCAGCTACTACTAAAACACGTAATGGATTTTCTCTGCTTCCACAGGTAAAAGGCATGACATTATGGAACTTAACTCTGATGTTGTGAACTTGATCTCCCACGCTACACAGGAAAGATTACGAGGGCTCCTGGAAAAACTAACTGTAATTGCTCGGCACAGAGTATCAACCCACAAGGTAAAGGAAATCATTAGCAAGTTTTGCTCAAAGTTTTCCTGCTTTGCAGCCTTGAAGGTAAACCTCTTCCAAGTGTGGGCACATCACAGGCAACATTTGCCTTCCTGGTATCTACCAAAGGCTGATTTTAGCTGTGTCTAGCCCAGCATATAACTGTTCCATTTGATTTGTTGGGTAGGTGCTCTTAAAACCCAGCATAAGACTGAATGCATATTTTTCTTCTCTTCCATAGCAATGGTGGCTGTTATACAAAGTCTCTTACATGGTACATGGAAAGCTGACTTTGAATGCTCTTGATGGTGGGTTGATTTAGGGACTTCTGTTTTCCTTATGCATTTACTGTTGTTGGAATTGCAGTCAGTATTGGCTCAGTAAAAAGCCTTGGGAAACTGAATTGATTATTTTACTTTTGGAAAGTGCTCCATGAAGGCAGAGGCCCTTTTCATCTTAAGATTTTTTTCATTTTAAGTCTTTTTTTAGCTTCATTCAATATAAAGTATATTGTGTCCCAGTGAGCTAGTATCCCTTAAGATGCTTGTATGGTGCAAATGGGAAGTGATAATTTACTGGCCAAACTAGCTTTCTTTTTTTCTTTTGTCATTCAATAGCAAGATACTAATCCTTACATCTTTCAATGTGAAGCTGTTTTAGAAAAAAAAAAAGTGAGAAGCAAATGTATCTGTCAACTCTTAGTTTCCTGTTTGTTCAGGTTGAGTTTTTTTACAAGAACTTTATACTTAATGAAATTTAACAAGAGCAACCAACTGATGGAATAGGAATTATTTTTGTACTGAGCACTTTTTATTGGCTTTTCAGCACTGGAGCAGCAATAGTAAAGAGGAGCAACTATTTGGAAACTTCTGAGTATTTATGGTGTTTTCTGAAGGAGTAGGAGTACTCTGTTCCTTCCTGGAAGAAGATGTAAAAGAAAAGAAAATCAATACAGAACAAGTACAGAGTTCTGTATGAAAAGACTTTGGAAATCTGCACTTGTACGTTGTTTTCTCCAAAATGGGAGGTACTATTGAGCTTGTGAGCAAAACTGAGGAGGAAGCTGAAGTCCAGAGTAACCAGTAGGACATAGTGTCTTGCAGACACCAAGAACAGAAGGAAATGGTTTTGGACAGTAGGCTGGATAGGGCTAGTTTCTTTCTCATTGAACTAAAGCAATAGAAAAACAGGTTTTTGTCTGATTGAATTGCCAGAAGCAGTGATAAGATTATAAGATTGCAATAAGCTGGCTTTCTTTTCCTCTTTTCTCAAAAGCAAAACAAACAAAAAATCAAAAGTAACGGGCACAGTAATCTTAGAGGCACAGATCCCCTCTTTTGTTAGGAAGATGGTATTACGTGACAGAGGAGTGTCCTACAGGATTACCTTTGTGAGCAATGCTATTGTGGGAGATGCTGACAGGCTTTTAGGAGTCTAAAGTTCAAGAAGAGAGCACTGCAGGGTGCTGGAGTCCCGTTATGTATTAATATAGATATTTATACAGCCCTGTATTCCATCTGCCCTGGTGCTTACCCCTGTTCTCTTTTCCCTCATGGCTTTTGATTGGTACCCCTGCATGATGTGGGCTACATCTATGTCAGATAAGTTCCCAGTGTCTTTCCAGGAGGGTTGGGTGGTTGCTCCATAAGGGGTTTTGTACTGGCCTATCTTCATTACAAAAAGACAGCAATAGGCGTAGTTGTGGTGAAACCAAAGTAGCTGTTGTTAGGGTGGGAGTTGGTATAAAAAGACCAGTAATTCATGGAATCATAGTCAGGAAACTCTTCTTCCCAGTTACTCAGCTCATGCCTGGCAGCTTTCTTCTGATAGATAGCCCTGCAGAGAGAGTGAATTAGCAGGGTAAAAGCTTCATGCTATGCCATCACGTAGACTTGTCAACTTTAGTCCTTTTTTTTGTTAAATTTAAGAAAAGAAATTATAATTGGAAGTCATTGACTTAATTGGGATAAAACTATGATGGTGGTCTCTTTATGTGAAGTAGGAATAGTCTTTCAGATGGTTGGGAGCTGCTTTCTGTGATGCAGCTCTTGTTGCAGTGCTCTTATAGAGCCTTTGGAAAACCATAAAGGGAAAGAGTCTTTATGTGGATTCATCCCAGCATGAAACAGCTGCCATGTTCCTGTGGTTGGAAGCCCTGAGCTCATGGCTCCGAGAGGTGTGGTGTGGTGCTGAGCTATAAGTGATGCTCCATAGAAACATTTTCCCCTCATGCAGTAGCACTGAAACGCCACAACACTGAATTGCATTATCTGTAGGGGCCGTGGGATGTGGGTGATAATGCTTCATCATAACAGCACTGGCTACAAGTCATGATACAATGGGGTACAATGTAATGTTTTCTGTCTCAGCAATTCTCTGCTAAATGGCCACAGAGAAGTTCATTGAGTAGGACAAAATATAACTGCAGGTGTTCCTCTTTTAAAAATTCCTGAAATAAGCTATCTTAAAACAGGTGATGAGCTGAAATACTGTTACAGATGCACCTATTTCTTGTCCCATATAAGCTCATGGTAGTGCATTGGGGAGCTTCTGCTTGAGGAGACTTACATTGCGGGTTGGTATAGGGTCATGGATTTGTCTTAAAAAGTGTAAATATCTGGCTATTCCAAAGCAAAACACTTCTAAACTTTGGAAGAAAATAATCTTCTGGTACTACAGCTTTCTTCTTTGTCCTTTTAAAAGGATTGTGGCATGGTGGTGGATTCAAAACTGCTGCTTCAAAACAAGTTGTACTGATGTACTGAGAGTGACTCAGAAATAGCTTATGCTTTGTGGAGAGCAGTTAAAAAAGACTTGAGCAGTGACAGACGAGGAGGGGAAAAGGTTTGTTGGACTTTTTTGCAGAGCCACAGATGCTGCTTGGGAAAGTCTCTGGTTGCAGTCTGTGGTGTGTTTTGAGCCACAGTTGGTAATATGTGACAATGAGGTACCTCATTGAAAAGGACCAGACGTAATACCAGAAAAGGGATTGATTTCATGCTCTAACTCAGTTGTGAAAATTCAGATCAGGAGACAGCAGTGCTCCACAAGAAAACTTCTACTTTCCTTCCATCTTTTCATAGTGCACAACTGTGTGTGAGAAGAAGCAGTATAGTATAGTATCTTAATATCCTTGAAAACTAAAAATTGAGTAACTGAAGTCATGGATAGTCCCTATACTTAACATATAACCTTGCCTAAAATACAGCTGTAAAATATCCTGTGCTTCTTTTAGAATAGTTGTATGTCAGAATTGTTTTATTACAATGTGAGACTGGTATATGATAGAACGAAGAGACTGAAAGTACATGGTGGTTTTGGCTGATAAATGCCTCAGGATAAATTTCTCAGGAAAAAAAAAAAAAACAAGTTCACAAAATAACAGAAAGAAGACAGCTGTAGGACGTGCAATAAAAAGTGGTACAAACAGGTGGCACAGACATGCCTCATCTAGAATGGACTCCTTGTCTTTTGTTGCCTAATTGCCATCTGGCCAACGCATGGCTCAAGAAGTCTGTCTTTGGAAAAGCAGAGTAGTAAAACCAAGCTTTTCATTGCCAGTTCACCATGTTTTGGATCTTTCCTTTCTCTGCCTTTCTGAGCTAAAGTAAATGCCAACTCAGGCTTTCCAGTGGGGGCAAAAATAGAATGTAAAATAAACTACTATTTGCTATTCTTGAGACTGATTGCTATTCTTGAGACCAAAAGGACCTCAGTCCTGTGTGAATGCCTGTATGTCTAGTGATTGTTGGGCTAAAGCTCATCATCACTATTCACTGGCCCAGCTTTGTACAGGTGGCTGGACCAGATGACTTCCCTAGGTTACCTTTCAACATAAGCTATCCTGGGACTTGAAAGATTCACTGAGGCAAAAATACCTATTCTTAAAGCTATAACAAACCAGACATAATATATTTCACCTTCTTCACCCCTAAGATTCATTATAACTGGTTCGAGACCACCTTTCCAATACATACATACATTCCATCATCTTTTTGGAAATACCAGATGATGCTTGTTTCAACTTCTGCGTTAAATAGCTGAAACTAGAACACAAAGCACTAGAAATTTATAATGTCAAATTCTAATTTTTTTTTTCTCTTCAAAGGAGAAAAGATGTTTTGCCCTGCTGCTTTACAATTCCTTTTTCTTTCCTGACATGTTTACTGGATAATAAGTTGGTGGTTTCAAACAAAATTTCTTTAGTCTAAGGTTTGGGAAGACTTCTGCTATTATAGTCAGTATAGACTGGATGTTTTTAATGTCACTTGTTCAATAACCTCTTACTAGTCACAGACACTTGGAAACATGCTTCAGTGGAGAGGAGACATGTAAATAACTACCTACTACCTGAAGTCTTTATAAAACAGCCCACACTTTTCAGCTTTGAAAAATAGCATTGTTCTTCTTGGATTGTTCCCATTAGGTTTATGAGCTCCTGGTTGTCTATAACAAAGTTCTTTTTTCAGGGGAGTGATAAGTACATCATATGTAGTGACACCAGAGCACAACTGAGATTTCTTGAGAAGCTTGATCACCTAGAAAAGCAGAGAAAAGATGAAGAGGAACGTGAAATGTTGCTTCGAGCAGCCAAGGTAAGACTCGTAAGTTTCCAGGGAAGTAGTCATGTCCTCTAGATTGGTGACCATCTTCTGGTTTCTCCTACTTCTGCTTTAAATATAGTAACCATTAATTCTGTCACTGAAAATCTATAATGTTTAGGACAATTGTGGCTATACAGAAAAGGATTTAACCTATTTACATTTTTTTTCAATAGTCCACAAGAGTTCTTTGAAATGTATGGTGAATTACTTTTTTGAGATTATTTCTACTGGTCAAAATGAAGTAACAATCTATAAATGTCCTTCCTGTATCTCTTTTTGCCTCTGAAACAGAAGCCTGATGAGATCCACCACCGTTGCATGAGTATTTGTTTTCCCTTTTCAGAGGGCTAGCCTTGGAGCTGGTACCACAGCATCCATGAACTCCTGATGGAGCTGTTGCTAGTACAGAATAAGTTTTTTCTCTCTTCCTTCCCCTCAGGAAGAGGAGGGAAAAAAAAGCTAGGACAGTAGATGTTGCTTCATCAGCTGTGACTTGACCATCTTCTGTTGATTCTTTTCTTTTGGTTTTGTTTCAAGCCGAATTCTGGAGCTGCTTGGGTGGAAGCCTAATCTAGAGTTGAACGAACAGTGTTGTGCTTGCATGAATAGAACTCCCTTTCTTTCCTATACTTCCTGTCCTTTTTAAGTGTCTGCTGCTGACATGAACAACATCATGCCTAGACTGGACCTGACTGACAGTGTTAGCATCATTTTCAGCTTAATCTTGCCTCTGGCTAGAGCAGAGGCAGCCGGCCCAGATGAGGAGGGGTGTGCACGTATATGCGTGGAGGGGGATGGAAGCCAGTCTGGATTGAGGCATTCAGCCCTGGAGCTAAATCTTTCAATCACCAGAGAAAACTGTCATTTATTAAATATTTAACAGATAGGATGGTGTTTGGACTCCAGTAATTTCTGTTCAATCTTTTTCTTCTTCCTTTGGTAGAGCCGTTCCAATAAAGAAGATCCAGAGCAACTGCGGTTAAAGCAGAAAGCAAAAGAGGTAGGAGTTTCCAGTTACCATGCTTGCCTTTGTGTGTTGAGAGAAGGTTGGCAGCCCTGTCCTGGCAATTAGGTCAGGGTTTATTTTGCTGCTGCATACCATTTGCAGAGGCCTTGGGGAAGGACAGGAACTGCCACAGGCAAGGGCAGTGCTTCAAATGAGGTCAATGAATTATGAGCTCTCTTTTTTTAACATTTTATTTTTGCAGTTTCAGTCCTGTCTCGAAACAGTCCTTTGTAAACTGCAGCAGTACACTTGGTAGGAATATAATGTGGGATTAGAAAAAAAAAAAAAAAGAAACTTTGAGATTTAGCATCTGGGACTGTACAATAGGCTACATTTTTCCAGGGTAATTGTTCGTTTTGTAAATCTGATACTGCTTATAATTCTTTGGCTGGGAGGCGGTACTGGGATTTAGTTTTAAATGGAAAACGCCTCTGGCTTTTAATTTTCTGGGCCCAGCAGTTTTCTGTTCTGGAATGGAGCCCTTGTTTCACACAGTTCATGTTTAGCTGCAGGGGTTTTAGTTTATAGCTTAGACTGGTTAAGCTTTTACTCCCAGAGGCCTCTGCATAGCAACTGTAGAAATCAACAAATAAGTTCATTTATGTCTGCAGCCTCCTCTCAGTAGCTGACTTTTTACATTTCCCAATATCCATTTCCTGACTTTTCTAGCCTGAGAGAAAAAAGCTCCACTAATTGGAGCTTATTTTAATTGAGCCTTAATATTGGATCTCACTGGAGTTGCCCCCAGAGCTACTGGGAACAGAATGAAATGAAAGTACCTAAGGTTGAAGATGTGTGTGCGTGTGTATGTGTGTGTGAAATTTTTCACTTGACCTACAGATTCTTGTCCCTGCTGAATAAATCATCAAGCCTGTTCACATTTCTGATTAAGGATCTGACAGCAGACGATAATAAAGACAATTGAGGTGTGAGACGTGTGATACAGAGCTGAAGAAATTGGTTTCTATAGTTACTTGACTGATTTCATGCAATTTTTAAGGATCTTTGTGCTAAATGAGAGTGATTTTCTGAGCAACCTTTTTCCTTAACTGTGCCTCTTGAACTATGAAATTTGTTGTTGCTTAACATTGCTGCACTTGGCTCCTAGGTGCCAGCAGCAGCAGGTTATTTATGAATGCTTTAAAGGCCCTTATTGTTTGGATTAATGTAGGAGTCCAGGCAAAACAAATGGAAATCCAGTAAAATAGTATTTGAATCAATGCTCTGGATTTGCACCACAGTAGATGAAATTTGTAAAAGGAGAAAGAAGGAACTTGCTTTACTATCTATCTTTTAATTCTTTGTTTCTGCTTACAATTCTTTCTTCATTGCTACAGTCTGTGAGTACAAAGTTGCCCTAAAGCCCTTCCCAGTTTGCCTCTAGTGCCACCAGGATCAACAATCAGTGGGTGATGCTAATCTGTCTTGTTTTGTAGGTGACTTTACCTCTGCATCATCTGATCGTTTCTAGATGTACTTTCTTTTAATAAAGACTGCAAAGTAATTCATTTATGCAGCTTCTTTTCTCTTGTTTTCTGAACAATAATGTGTAAAATCATTAAAAGTATAGTGTGGTTTGCATATTTAGAGCACAAAGAAGGTTAGATTAGATTCAGTGATATTTTTCATGAGATCTCTTTTAAAAAGTGGCATAGTGGTGTACAAAAAAATGAGCCAACAGAGCAGGGAAGGCATATAAGTTTCGTGCTTGGTGTTCTAATATGTCTTGAGTTCCCCTCCTTCAGTGCATCTCATCTTGTGCCAGACTAACACAACCTGCATCACTCGTTGTCCTGTGTGTTTCTCCATGCTGTGCTGCTCCCAGAATGACAGTCTCCAACTGCTCCACCAAAAGAAGAGGAGGCAGATGTGCCTCTTGGGGCAGCACAGATCTTTGTGTTGATATTCACTTAAAGAACTCTGTCCTACTGCTTTGTTCTCCAGAGAATGAGGCAGCCAGAAGCTTCTCCAAGCTTCACACAGAGAATGGGGACACCCACCTTCTGTGCCAGTGGTGCTTTTTCATCTGGGACCATCTCAAGATGGAGAGTGGAAATGAGAACACATGCAGCTGGAAAAAAAATAGCACTTTATTGACAGTTTGCAGAAAACTGGTCAGCACACATTTGCACTAAAAAAATGCAAGCATGAATAGGACTGGAATAAGAGCAAAATAAAAATCAACAAATGTCCTAAGACTAAAACTGGTAGCACAGAAGCATGGTGTACAGTGGGATGAAGGCTTGAAATAGCTTACCCTTGTCTGTCTGTCTTGTCATGTTGTGGTTATAGTCTGGTCCTAAGGAACCAGACTTGGAAACTTTGATGCCTCTGTCAGCTGGAATCAGATCCTTTCCAGGTCACTCCAGTCGAGTATCTGCTGGAAAGCTTGATCTGATTGTCTGCTTATAGTTCTTTAAAAATTAATATGGACCTGCCTTCCTCAAAGCTGTCTTTTGTATGTTGATGGTGACCCCCTGGGAGAAGGAAGAGGGTGTGGAGTAATGGCACTGTAACACGTTCTAAGCAAAGTTTCCCAAAATGCAGGGTGTACATCCTGACAATGAATACTTATAAATCCAGGATGTGCTGTCATCCAGTAGCTGGAAGCAACATCTTAACATTGCTGGAAGTACATCCAGAGACTCTGCAGTGGATTCTTTTATCCAAAGGGCTATACATAATTCCTGTGACCTTTTCATCCCTTTTTGCATGACCTATTGCCTCAAACTTCCCCTATGCTAAGTCATTTACTTTCCTATATTCTTAGCCTATGTAGCTTGCCATGAATTAAGTCTGTATTTATTTCCCTCTTTCACCTGTTTCAGCAGATTTTAATACCTATGGAAAGTGCACATTCCTTCTGAGACAGCTGCAAGGCTTGCCCCAAGCTGCTGCTTTGTGCACTCAAGAATTTTGTCCTTGCTCTCCTCACGGACCAGCTCTTTGTGCAGTGGCATTCCTGCAGTCTGGGTAAATTACCCCTGTTTTTCATTCTGCTTTATCTGCCTCTTCAGGCTGAGAGGATGCAGCCTTCTCATTGTCCGTAATGTTTGCACTATTAAACCCTGACTTTTTTTAGGTGGTTTCTGCTATTTCCTGTTCTACTTTCCACAATGCTTCCAGTTACAAAGAAAGTGTTCAGTCAATGTGATTCTTGTTGCTGTATTTATAGTTTATCTGTGCCTTTTTCTCCTTTCCTGAAATGAGCTTTCCTAAATTGAGTAGGTATAGGATACTGTCAAATGTGCTAGCCAGCCATATGAACAGTTCATTGCAGAAGACCTGTAAAAATGTCAGTATTAAATGGTGTTTTATAATTCTAAATAAAAACTCTGATCCCTTAGAATTGTTTAGTTTGGAAAAGACCTCTAAGATCACTGAGCCCAACTATTAACCCAGCACTGCCAAGTCTTGGGCCATCACTAAACCGTGTTCCTAAGTGCCCTATTTAAATATTTTTTGGACCCCTCCAAGGATGGTGACTCAACTACTTCCTAGGACAGCCTGTTCAAAAACTTGACAACCCTTTTGGTGAAGGAATTTTTCCCAGTTTCCCTGTACTCCTGTCCCTCCTATTCAGAAGTGAGTGCTTTTGTAGTACAGCTTCAGGAAGCTTAAGGCTGAACCTGGGCAAACCTTTCAGAATGTATCTGGGCAAGATACCTGCTGGTGTTGAGCAGGTGAAGAGGTATTTCACTGAGAGCATCTTTGCTTATTTCCATAGTAGCCACCTTTATCCCTGCTCTTACCTTGTGTCACCTTGTCAGCGCATAAAGGGGAGCAGCTGCATCTTGAGCTAGGGGAGGAGTGTGTGGAGCAAGCACCTGAGGGACAGCAGATCTGCCTGCCCCATTCTTTGCTCTCTCAGCAGCTCTGTTCACTTGGGATTGCACAGATCTTTCCACTCCTTGTTCCTGCCTGCTTGATGCACTCGTGCATTTTTTGACACAGATACAAGATGGCAGTAGATGAGATGCTGAGAAAATTCAATATCTTTAGTATCAACTGACTGGGAAGAAAATGGCAAACCTTAGGGTTTTTGTAGAGACAAAACAACCCCTATAGAAAACATCAAACAAAGAGCCAGCATGATTCCAGTGCGTTCTTGGTCTTACATAGTAATGACTGAATTTTAGTTGTTCTGTAGTACCTTCTCAACAGTTACCATCTTTTTTTTCCCTGTTTCATATAACCTTCTAACTCCCTTATTTCCTCCAACACTCTCAGGTAATAAGTTACTGTAACTTGATTCTTTGCTGCTTGCCCTACCACCTCCAACTCGCATTTTCAAGCTGTTTGTTTTCTTTTTCCTTTTGTGCTGCTTCTCTATCTAGTCTTCTGGACCCAATGGTTCAAATTATTTAAGACCACTCTTGTGGCAGGGCAGAAGTTAACTATAACTTCTCAAAAAAGCAAGTACAAGTTGCTGCAAACAAAACAAGACCTCATTGTTATCAATTGGCTTTTTTATGAGCCTTCAGTGGCAGCCTAAGAGCTTCTGCCTAATTACCTGATTTATATTATCTTTATTGTTCTGTAGTGTTTCTTACCTGCTTCTGCATGTTTTGAAAAACAAGAAAACCAAACCATGATAATCAAAGAGACATAAATTTCATTAGCTGCAATGTAGCCTTACAAATTACAAAGGGCAATCATTAGAGATTTGGTATGTTACAAGTCTTGTAGAAATTCGGGAATAGAAATTCGATAACATGTTAGATTATTGGGCGAGCTACAAAGCAAACCAAATGCCTGTTTGTGACAGTCATGTTGGTGTTTTGAAGCAATGTAAAAAAAGAGCAGCTGAGACACTGCCTCTGATACCCTAAAACCATCTGCCTCAAAGATGGCAACAACTGTCTTTAGTGTTAAACAGCCCCCCCACAAAACTCCATTAAAAGTGTTCTTGGATTTGCAAATAGCCTTTTCTCAGTTTGTCTGAGAGACAGAGAATGAACATAAAACTGGTATGGCCTTGGATCAGAAATTTG